AAAAAACAAAACAAAACAAAACAACAACAAAAAAACCCCAAAAAACTTGTGTGTGAGTGTTTTGCTTGATGGGCACCGCGTGTGCGATGCCTTGTTGAGGCCAGAAGAGGGCGCCGGATCCCTTGGAACTGGAGTTACAAACAGACGTGGGCTGACAAGTCTTCAGTTCTGAACCAGCGTTCTCTGCTAGAGTATCAAGTGACTATTCCACCACCTCTCCAGCCCCTGGTGTCATTTTCCCGGCTACAATTTCAAACGGCAAAGCTTCTGTTACTGTGGGCTTGGGGGGAGTTCCCTGTGCATCTCGGATGGTGGAGTTCTCTGGAAGTGGCTGCCTGTTAGTGGGAGCATCACTGCTGAGAATTCTGAATCTTCCCTGCACCCCGCCTCTGCTGTGTCTGTGCACAGCACCAAAAAAGGCCAGGTGGGGCTTGCAGGAAGCTATCCCACCCTTCCGGGGACAAGACCGGTTGGCATCTATTTCTGTGTGACAAGTGCTACGCTGGCCGGTGGGATGGACTGCAGGAGGTAAGGAGGTTAGCTTTTCTACTGTAGTCCTTGGGGGCTAGCCCAGCTCAGGCCCCCGGTTCCCAGCTCCCAGCATCTCTATTCTGTTCCAGCTCCTCTACTGTGCTCCCGGCTCCCCTGCTGGATCCCCCTTCTCCCAGGCCCCGTTCTCTCAGCCCCCTGCTCTCAGACCCCATGCTCTCTTCCCAGCCCCTCGGCAGCTTTCCAGCACCTCCTCAAGCCTCAACCACCGCCTTCAAAGTATCCATACGCAGGTGCTCCTCCGGGGAGACTCAAATTCACCGCTCCCAGGCTCCGCCCACTCCCGGTAAACTACAACCCCATTGGTTGAGCTCTTTATTGGGCTCCGCCTTTGATTTGCCCTTCCCCAATTGGTGCTCAGGACCGTCCGTCAGCGCTGTTGCTAGGGAATGGGCTGGGCGACCCGGGCAACCTTGGCCCCTTGAACGCACCGGAAGGAGCTCGGTCCCTGTGAGCCAAGGCCGGTGAGCCGGAGGTTGGGCACACTGAGGGAGGCTAGGGACAGCTCAAGGAAGGAAGGCCTGCGGGGTGGCCTGAGTAAGTCCCCAAGGAGCTTTCCCTCGGTCAAGGCTACTGTCAGAAGCAGAAAGAGCCTGGGAAGGGCGAAGGTGGGCGTGCTCAGGAGTCTGTGGGCCGGCTTTATTTTCCAAGACAAATCCAGCGGAGTTCCTTCAGAGCCGAGCTCAAAACCCCATTAGGGAGAGGCGAGGGACCTCCCTGGCCTGCACCCTGAGGGGGCCCCGCTGGGCTGGAAGGAGAGCGGCTAGTCGTACAGGCGCCATTGGGCTCAAGGATTCAAATATGATGGGGCTGCTCAGATGTGGTGGTGGACATTGACCCCAGGAACTGGACAGAGAGGGGGTCATGATCCCTTGGAGGCCTTATGGAAGAGCCCCGAGGCGCACCCCGGCTCGCCACCAGGAACCTGGGGCTGCAGAGAAGCTACCCCGTGCTTTAGGACAAGCTCAAGGAGCCCCTTTTCATTATTGTGGGCCCACCTGCGTGTTTTTGTCCTCTAGGAAGCAGGACCAGGTACCCTTGGATGGCTTCGTTCAATCTGAAGCCCTAATGTTAAATAATTCACCCGAATTTACTAAAGCATGGTAGGGCACACTCCTCAGTGCGGTGGAGTAAAGGCTTGGTGATGGGATTTCACAATGGAGGAGAGGCTGGGCTCCTCTGGGAATGGATCTCCTGGCTGGGGGAGGAGAAAGGACCTGATTGGCTAACAAGGGCGGTGGCGTATTGCGGATGGGCTGTTGCTGAGACTGGGTTGTTCAAAGAAGTGCACGGGTAGGTTTAGGAGACTTAAGGTACCTCGAGGCAAAGGCTTGCTCCTTGATTGTACCCAGGTATGGTTATGGAACAAGGTGGGGCCACCTCTGCTCAGGTTGTGAATGCAGAGCTCTGGCCCTGTGTGGAGAATGGCCAGGGCTGTGACTATGGGTGACCATCAAGGGGCCCCTCCTGTTTGATCCCTGCCCGGTGTTCTCAAGCCATGGCTGGAAGCTTTGTGGTGGGTGAGGTTCTGGGCCCTGTAAAGTACCCAGAGGCAGTGTCCCTGGCCTCTGCCCAGTGGATTCGAGCAGCATCCTCCCCTACCGCCATTTCTGATAAAGACAATGGCTCTGATCCTCATCGAATGTCCCTTCTGGTTTGTAAGGCTGACACACACTGCTACAAGTGACCGTCCAGTAACGGAGGTGTCTTCACCTAGGAAGGGTGATAAGTTGGCAGGGGGAAGGCTGTCCCATGTACTGAGGTGTCCCCATGGAGACCCTGGACTAGACAGAGTCTGCCTCGGATTGCTATTTGGACATATAAAGGACCTTCCTCCTGGAATCTGACAGATTTATGGCCACATTACAGAGCTTGTAGCGTGCAGGGACAGCGGGGGGGCGGCGCGAGAGCCATCCTTGCTGCAGCTGTGGAAGGAGACGGGCTGCCTTTCAGCTGTAGTGGCTGAGGTGTCTTCCCTGAGCTGTGGGCTTCAGACCTGCACTTCCCCTGTAGGCTGGCCCCGCAGACAGCGGTGTCTGACTCTGTCCTGGCATTTGGCCCTGTCTCCTGCTGCCCCTGGCTTGTTTTCTGTTCAAGGTTGGGTGCTTAGCAATTGATTTCTCAGTAAGGTGGGTCCGCACTGTGGCTCCCTGTTGGCAGGCTATAGCTATGTAGGTGATATCACTGAGCAGGGGCAGGCAGGCCTTGCGTGCTGGAGCAAGTGACGCTGACCATGGGACTCCTACAGGTCACGGTGGGCTTGAACCCTTGGGGGCTGCTTCTTGGGGTTTGGTGGAGAGTCGGCACTGGGAAACCCACAGAGTGGAGGGAGAGGGTGCCACTACCTTTCCTGTCACTGTGACCTGACACCTGACAAAGCGATTTAAGAGAAGGAAGATTTATTTGAGGGGATACAGTTCATCACAGTGGGGAAACCACAGAGGCAGGAGCCCATGGCAGCTGGTCACACGGCGTCCACAGTCAGGAAGCTGAGAGAGAGGAACACGGGTGCCCAGCTGCTTTCTCCCTTTTGTTCAGCCCAGGCCCCCAGCCCTCGGCTTGGTACTGCCCACAGCTAGGGTGGGTCTTCCCGTGTCAGCCAACCTAATCACAGAGACCCTTCGCAGACTCACCCAGAGCTGTCTCCAAGGTGATTCCAAATTCACCTTGATCACAGCCAAGATTAGCTATGACAGAGCAAACCACGTCCTGAGAGACTGCAAGGGAACAGACTCAGCCATCAGCACGTGTGTCTTTGTCACCTCAGGCTGAGGCACTGGATAGTGGTCATGAGTCAGAGTTCCCTTTTGCAGCCTTCACATTGGAGCCAGGAGTCAGACGTGGCTCGGGGAAAGGCTGTGGGGTGGGGGTCAGGGTCCCTGTGGGGCACAGAGCAGGACGAGGAAAGGACAGGGCTTGCCCCTGGGTGGGGACTACCAGGGAGGTCTTCGGAGGAAGTGACCTCTGAGCAGAGTGGTGGCATCAGCTTGTGGCATTTGGTGGCACCTCACTGGAGTCAGCGGACTCAGTGCCGCGGAGCTCGTGGTCAGGAGGGCAGGAGGGCACAGAGGCCACGCAGCGTAAGTGGGAGGGGCTTCATGAATGCTGAATTGTTAGATATGAGAGCTGGAGGTCAGAAGGAAGCCACTCTGAGGAGGACACCCACGATGCCTCAGGAGCTTGCTGGGGTAGGAGCAGCTACCAGCCGGCCTTGAGCCTCCATGCCTGACAGGAGGCTACTGTCTGCAAACCATTCTCTCAGTAGGCTTCTTGAGGTCTGCCACTTACACGAGGCACAGCCCTCAGACTTCTGATGCCCACTTGATTCTAGGTTGATCGATTGAAGGAGACAGGGCCTTATGTATCCCAGGCTGGCCTTGAACTCACGACCCTATTACAGTCCCCCAGGTGCCTAGGTTTCAGGTGTCACTAGCAGGCCAGGCTTCCTTCGGGTTTTCTAGGAGGGGGATGAGCATCTGAAGGCCTGAGCCTTGACCACCAACCATTCCTCCTTCCTAATTCTGTTCTAGCCCTCTGTACCCTCTTGCTTCTCAGGTGGAAAGGAAGCTACTGAACTGTCCCTTCCCTTGGAGTCCTCCCCGTACCACTCAAGACAGCTTGATCCCATTCTGAGCCCTCCATACACCCTGGTCTACTGTTCTGACCCCAGGCCTGGAGCCGTGTTAGCATTTTCCAGTGTCATCATCCCAACCCCACCTTAGGACACTTGACAGTGGCTCCCACTTGGTTCCTGATGGTCGGATGGCTTCAGTGAACTGTAGAAGCAATGTCTCCTTCTCTGCACTTCCAAGCCTGGGTGACTGACAGCTGTCACCCAGGGCATTTGAAATCCACACTTCTAGCTGTTTGGAAGCACCCTGTTCTTCACTGTCCCCTCCTGAGCACAGGACTCGGTATCTTCCCCAACACTGCGTCTGGAGACCACCCTTTCTCTCCTTGCTGGAAGTCAATCGCTGTTTTGTTGCTGTTTAAAATTCAGCTGGGGTGACTGATAACCTGACTGAGTCCCAGATGGCTGAGCTGCTGCTTAGGGTTGCAGTCCCCGGGGGTCTGTTCCGTGTGACAGCATAGGCTGTGTCCCTGGAGGGATGGGGTTCAGCTATGCTGCTGTCTGGTTTGGAGGTGAGGCCAGCCTTGTGCTCCTGGCCGTGGAATGTAGCCTGGACTTGCCTCTGAGTCTCTTTAAAGTGTGTAGGGGGGTGGGGGCTGGGTGAGCCCCCTTTCCAGTCTGCCTTTGTGAGTAGTGCCCCGATGAGCCCTCTGGAGGGACGTGTCTTTGGGGAAACTTGATAGCATGGAAGCCTGTCAAGAGCAGGGCCCTACCTCCCCCCCCCAAAAAAAACAGCAAAGCCCAAGGGTTGGCAGGGCTGTGGAGGAGGGACGAGCTTGAGCTGGTGGGAGTATAATGGGAGGGCACGGTGCAGCAAGAGTTCCACTGCCCCGCGTCTGAGGCTTGAAGCCTGTGGTGGAGTAGAGCGACCCGAAGAGAGGGACTCGAGCACATGGGGTTGCAGCCGTGCTATCTGTGATAGCCCTACAGTGGAAGCAGCCCAGATGCCTGCAGTCAGTGTTGGTGAACAAAACGTGGTGTCCACACCATGGCATGTTATTGAGCCGTGAAAAGGAGGGAGGTATTGGTAAGTGCTAAAGCATTACTACGTAGCCCATTCTGACCTCAAGCTCAAGGCCACCACTACCCCTGATTCGGTTTCCTGACTGTCAGGATTATGGGCTAGGCCACTATACCAAGGAGTGTGGTTTTAAATGAAGGAATGAGGTTGCTTCAGTTCACTCGAGGGATCAGGATGGGGCCGTGGTACTTCACACATGTCAGCTGTTAATTTCTGCCCCATCAAATCAGGATTTCCATCAAAAGTATTTTAGCTGCATTTTGTGTCATTTGCTACCATGGGTTTTCAATATCTTGATGAGTCTCACGCTGTAACTTTTCTCTCTTCCTGGTCTGCAGAGCGCTCCAGAGACCAGGCAAGATGGGGAATGCCAAGAGCCTGTCGGGCCAGAAAATGTGCTCGAAGTTCCTGCCCGAGGAGCAGGCCGAGGTGGACAGGCTGTTTGATGTCCTGTCATCTAATAAAGGTGGCTCAGCAACGGGGACATTCTCTCTGGAGGCACTGAAGGCAAGAGGGACCATGTGGTGGGGACCCAGGGGTCTGCAGCTGTGCTATGCACTGAAAAGCTGGGTTTTGGCGAATGGCCCTGTTTTTGGCATCGTGGGCTCCATGACTATGTCACAGCTATACTGCTCTGTCCTTGTAGGGTGGAGAGCAGCCACGGGCCATGGATGAACTACGCCCCCACTCTGTTTTTTGAGACAGAGTCTTGGTGCATAGCCAAAGCTGGTCTAGCCTGGAATTCACTGGATAGCCCAGGCTGGCCCTGAACTGACAGTGGACCTCTCCCCCTCAGTCCTCTAAGTGCTGGTGTAAAAATACAGTGTCTCGTATGTAGTAAAGCAGGGGCTGGTGTCAGACATGGCTGTGCATGTCTGTGGTCCACACACTCAGGAGCCTGCATGGTGAGGCCTTGGCTCAGAAAAACAGGAGGAAGGGTCAGAGGGAAAGATGGAAGGAAGGAGAGAGGGAACTTGGAAGGCACTGTGACTGGTCAGGGTTCAGGATATTTGTAGTGACATCAGACAGGAGGGACAGCCGCCTCCTGGGGTGGTCTAGAGCCATGCTTGATGCCTCAGCTTCAGTTGCCTCTAGAATGTGGCCTTGACATGAGGGGAGTCGTGGCACTCCTCACTCAACACCAGTCTCAGTTTAAGAAGTGAGAACTGGCCATGTCTTCAGGGTGACTGCCACGCTCCTCAGGACTTGGACATAGTAAACATCAGCTTACTCCCAGAGATTGGGGATGGGGTAGCCTACAAAGCCATTCTAAAGCTTTGTCTTCTACAGCAGTGACCTATAGGTCACGACCACCTTGGGGGCTTTGAACAACCCTTTCACAGGGGTCATCTAAGACCATCGGAAAACACAAATATTTACATTATGATTCATAACAGTAGCAAAATTACAGTCATGAAGTAGCAATGAAAGTAATTTAACGGTTGGGGGTCATCACAGCCTGAGGAACTGTATTAAAGGGTTGTCATCAGGAAGGTTGAGAACCATTAATCTAAAGCCTGCAGAAGGGGCTTTGTGGACCCACTGCTGTGGTCAGCTAGCCAGCTGCTCCAGATGCTCTGGGAGCCCCTCATGTGGTGTATGCTCCACCACTGCCTGGCTTTTCTCCCCCTCCCACTACTAGAGATCAAGCCCTGGGCCTTCCATACGGCAGTGAGCTCTGCCACTGAACTCCACCCCAGCCTGAGCCAGTTCACTCTGGGACCCCTGGTTGGGGACCCCCGGTTGGTGGGATGGTGCTGTGGGGACATAGGAAGGTTATGTATCTGCAGGCGGTGTCTGTGGAGCAGTGGTTGGTCTTGTCCTCAGCTTGATTTCCGGTGGACCCTGCCTAAGGTCTCTTCTGTTTGTCCCCAACAGAGCCATGTCAAGGAGGCTCTTCCTGCAGTGATGGTCACCAGACTATATAACGGCATGTGGAGGGTCAAGCCGACCCACAAGGCACATGAGGGCTGCAGGAATGTTTCCCGGGAGCAGTTCACAGTGTTCCTGTCCCACCTGTTAAAGGGGAGCTTCGAGGAGAAGGGCCGTATGGTTATGAAAATGATCTTGGCTGCAGAGGGTCCTGTGAAGGCCAGAGAAGTCCAGGAGGTAAACACTCAGTGACCTGGTAGGGGACTTGGGACGGCCGGCTTAGGTAATGATGACATCATGATGCTGGCCAGTCTCAGGGAGCTGAGCCCACACAACAATTTGGTTGATTTAGAACTCCTGAACTAGTTCTGGCAAACTTTTAGGTGAACTAAGAGTGTTATTAGAAGATCAAAAGCCGGGGTCTGGAGAGATGGCTCAGTGGTTAAGTGCACTGGCTTCAATTCCTGGAAACCACACAGTGGCTCACAACCATACATGCAGACAGAGCACTCAGACATAAAATACATAAATAAAATCTAAAAAAAGAAGAAGGAAAAGCCATGCCTGGGGGCACAGGCCTGACATCCCAGCTACTGAAAAGGGTCAAAAGTCAGCCTACGCACCTTGGTAAGACCCCGTGTCGGGATTTCACACAAAGAGGAAGAGGGCTAGGAATGTGTTATCATTTGGTAGAATTTTCACATAACATCCACAAAACCCATGGCTCCATCCTCAGTAGTTCATATAACAGGTATAGTGGCCTACATCTGTAATCCCAGCAGGCAGAGGCAGGAGGATCAGGAGTTCAAGGTCATCTTCAGCTACATAGCAGTTTTGGGGCCAATATGGACTACATAAGATGCTAAGAAAAGAAAAATAATACCTGGATAGCTACACAAGGTGGGCGATGCCCCTGCTGAGGTCCACTGCGGTAGATGCTGGGAGTGGGTCGGAGAGGTTTGTCTTTAACAGTGAAGTGTCTCCCAGTTCACAGAGGAACTGGTCACCTCTCTGGTACATGTGCTGACCCACCGGCATGAGCTTCGAGGCTGGACCCGGAGGAACTCCACTGTGTCCCCCACCAGTGTGCAGGTGATGACTGCCCAGCTGCTCTCAGAGATGAAGTTTCAAGGCAAGTGTGGGGCCATCCTCTGCAATTCCAACCTTGGCATGGTGGGGCGCCACAGTTCCTGGGACTGTAGTCTCCCGGGGGAGCTCTGCTGTGGTGTGTGCCTGTCTCCCTTGCTCCATGACTGCTCTGTGGGATGTCCTTGTGAGGAAGCCATTGTGACGACATCACACTTCCTCCTCTGGTTTCAGTGTCTGGAATCTTTCTCTTGGTCAGTGCAGTAGAAAGGGTCTCAATATTTTTGTTGAATTTAAAGAAAGATTTATTTTTAGCCTGGGTGGTGGTGGCGCATGCTTTTAATCCCAGCACTGGGGCAACAGAGCCAGGTGGATCTCTGTGAGTTTGAGGCCAGCCTGGTCTACAGAGCGAGTCACAGGGCAGCTAGGGCTACACAGAGAATCCCTGCCTGTGGAGGCCAGAAGAGGGCATCAGATTGGAGGGAACTGGAGTTGCAGGTGGTTGTGGGCCTCTTGATGTGGTGCTGGGAACCAAACCCAGGTTCTCTGTGACAGCCATCTCTTCAGCTCTTTTGTTAGTTAAAAAGAAAATCTTTTTTTTTAAACGTCTGGGTGATTCTTCTCTCCTGTCTTCCCAGTCCATTTTACTGTTTATTATTTGAATTAAATTTGCTTGTGTCTCCTTATTTTCTCTCTCTGTGGTGTGTTTAGGGTAAAACAGCCAGCAAAAGACACACCCTGGCCTGAAACCAGAGCCAAAGAAACACACTCTGCTCCTGATGAACTCAGCACAAAAACCAACCAATGCCTGAGTAGTAAAGCCAGCCAGTCTCTGAGAAGGAAATCCAGCCAATCTCTGAGATAGTCCAAACTCAGCGATTGAAATCTGGTTAATTTCTACCCTGAAAATCTTCACCCGGAAAAACTCTGCCCCTAAGAGACCCTGTATAAACCCTGTACTTGTTGAGTTGGGAGCTGCCTTTTTCCATCCTGACAGAGCAGCCACCCTCCTGGATCCTTGAATGAGGTTTGGGTGAGACCATCTTTTCCTTGGAGTGGAGCAGAGCAGAAAATAACAATTTTCACAGGAGCTGGAGCAGAGCAGAGTAAAACTGTAACAATTTTTTGGGGGGGAGGGTGTGTGGGGTTGAGTGGGGGCAATGCTCCCCCCTGCTGGAGAAGAGTCACTACATTGGGGAAACCTTTACCTGGAGCAGGGCTGTAAGCTGCTGTGCTTACAGTGACTTTGTGGTATTCCTTGGCTCCCGACCGCCAGGATCTTTTTCCATCTGAGCTGCAGTGTTTACAGTGTATACAAGTTCATGTCAGGCATCTTCGAACTCTCTCCATCTTATTACCGAGACAGGGCCTCTCAGGGAACCTTGGGGCCCACCAATTGGTTAGGCCGGCTGGCCCAGAATTCCCAGGGAGCCACCGGTGTCTGTCTCCATTCCCCAATACTGAGGTTAGACACAGCTGGGGGTCTGAACTCAGGTCTTCAGGTTTGCTTGGCAGGTTCTCTACCAACCAAGCTATCTCCTCAGGCCCCTTGTTTCTTAAGGTTTAAGTGGCTAATTTGTGGTCTCCCTTCTTCAGTTTAGGTGTTTGTAGCTGTGAAATTGCCCTCCAAATGGTCCTTTCGCTGCACCCTGAGGTTGCCATGGGCAGTGTATTGTCAGTTTACCATCTATTTAGTTTTGTTATATGTCTAGTATGTACACATGCATGTGGGTGTCTACAGAGGCCAGAAAGAGGGCATCGGATCTTCTGGAACTGGAGTTACAGGCACTTGAGAGCCACCAGACATGCGTGTTGGAATCCACCTTTATCACAGGGTGTGGTGGCGCACGCCTTTAGTTGCAGCACTCTGGAGGCAGAGGCAGGTGGATCTCTGTGAGTTTGAGGCCAGCCTGGTCTACAAAGCAAGATCCAGGACAGCAAGAGCTGTTACACAGAGAAACTCTGTCTTGAAAACCAAAAATAAAAATAGAACAAAATTATAGAAATAAACAAAGATGTGAGTTTTGCTAATATATCCAAAATATGCTTCTAACCTATATAATGTAGATATTGTTGTATTTTACAGTGTATTTTCATACTGGCTGTTTGAAATTGCAAGTGCTCATTAGACTTAGGACATGCCTCAGCTCAGATGAGCCACCTCCCCAGTTCCACAGCCTCGTGTGACTTGTGGCTCTTAGATTGGTTATCGCAGGCTTGGATGGTTGCTGTCAGGTGACACGGTGTGCTCACTAACGCCGATTCCCTTTCCTTAGATGGCCACAAGTTTCTGGGGCCTCGGTGCCTGGACCAGATCTGCGACCAAACCGTGATTGAGGACTGGGTGTTCCATGTCCCTCACGTGGGCATATTTCTGAGTGTGGTCATCCATCGGGGCCTTCACCTCCTGAACTCATGCCTTGACCTTTCGACGCTGATCCCTGAGTGCCACACGGACCCAGGGCAGCAGTTTGAGAGCATTCTGGATGTGCTCTCTGTCATCTACCTCAACTCCCACCTGGCCGTAGAGCAGCGGCACTGCTGGCGCCTGCTCTTCTCCACACAACTCCACGGACAGAGCTTTTCCCAGCTGTGCAGTCACATCACACACCAGGGGCCCTGCCTGCTGGTCCTCGAGGACAGCGACGGCTATGTCTTTGGTGGCTTTGCCTCCTGTTCTTGGGAGGTCAAGCCTCAGTTTCAAGGTACGACCTTAAGACCATAGTAGGTGCGGTGCTAGTTGGGGTTAACTGTCAGCCTGGCACAGTGTAGCATCTCCTGGGAAGAGGTTTAGGTATTATCCAGAGCAGGTTGTTAGTTGATGTGGGAAGACCCTGCCCATTGATGGTAGTGCCATTTTGTGGGGTGAGCCTAAACTATGCGGGAGTAGCCATCTGAGAGCAAGTGGGCATTGCAGGTGCAGCGTTTTTCCTCTGCTGTGACTGTGGTTGTGGTGTGTCTAGCAGTCTGAGTTCTTGACTGACTTCCCAAAATGATGAACCATAACCTGGAATTATGAGCCCAGTAGCCCCCTTTCCCTATGTTGCTTGTTGTCTGGGTCTTATCACAGCAACAGACACGAAACTGGGATACTTATGTTTGTTGCTGTGACTGGCTACTTGACAAAAGAACAGCCAGAGGAAGGGAGGCTGCGTCATGGCTCACGGTTTGTGGGGTGCAGTTCATCGTGGGCAAGGCGGGGTGGTAGGAGTGGGTGGCTGCTGCTTGCCTACATCCTGATGGGTTAAGAAACACTGTAGTGAGAGGTTGGAGAGATGGCTCAGAGTTAGAGCACTGGCTGCTCTTGCAGAGGCGCTGTGGTTTGATTCCCAGCACCTACATGAAGGCTTACAACTTAGCTCCAGTTCCAGGGGATCTGATGCCCTCTTCTGGCCTCTGGAGGCACTAGGTACATACATACATACATGTAGTAAAGCACACATACACAGATTTTTAAAAACATGCTGTGAGGGGCTGAGCAGAAGGCACTGGGCTATAACCGCTAAGAACTGTCTCCCCAGCAACCCTCTTCCTCCTCCTCTGCGTAAGGTTCCATAACCTCCCCAAACAGCTCTACTAGCCTGGCACCAAGTGTTCAGACAAGTGAGCCTGTGGGAGACTTCTCACACTCAAACCTTAGCAGAGACCCTAACTCTTGAGTGCTTGAAGAAGCTTGGGAAGGGCTGGCCAGGTGGCCACTACCTAGGCACAAGCCCTGGCTTTCATATAGATCTACACACACACACACACACACACACACACACACACACACACACACACACACACGCATGCACACGCTCACACGCATGCACACACACATGCACACACACAAACACAAACACACGTACACACACACACTCAAACACACGTACATGGCTCCTGACCTCCAATGGTTTCTTGACTGAAGCTGCAGTGTTGGTATTATGCTCCTCTCCGGCATCACAGACCCCTTCTTTGACCCTGGCAGGGGTCAACTCTGCTTCCAGGTGACAACAAAGTTGTCACTGATGGAGGCCCAAGAGGGGATGAGAGCTGTTCCTCATGGGGACGCTTGCTCTGCACTGCCCCCCTGCTTTTCTGTTTTTGTGGCTTTGTTAGCTGTAGAAGCGCCATGTGTGACTGAGTCAGTTGTAACCGTCCCTCACTACCCTCACAGGAGCTGTCCTTTCTGGCTGCCCCCAGGCTCCTCCATAGGTGGCAGACTGCCTCCTGTGCCCACAGATGACCAGCTTTCACCAGGGTGCCATCGTGGTGCCCTATGGCACAGCGTGTCTTTGGCCTTCCTTGTCTTCATCCGACAGATGCTGCTCTGGAGGCCAGGGGGCCATGGGCAGGTGTGACTGCCATCCCTGGACTTCTTCCGGTCAGGCTGGCAACCACAGGCCTGGCAGGGAAAAGAGCTGTTGGTTGAGGGTTGTCTCATACGTGCTTACACACACATGTGTTCCCTTGGTTCCCTAGATCAGGTATGCATAGGGTTTGATTTACTGCTACGTTTGGGGTGTTTGAGACCTTTAACCTGTTCAGGGAATGGTGGGAACGGTCCCCAAGTCCAAGTTTCCAAGTGTTGCGAGGCTGGCAGGTGGGTCTGTCTAGAAACAGCAGCCTCAGGATATGCAACCTGTGCTGGTTGCCTTGTTGTCCTAGGCAGAGGCAGCACTGCACCCCACTGGAGACTCTACGGCGGGCTGCACTCCACCACCTCACTGTGTCCCTGCAAGTCAACTCTAGGGTTGAGTGAGATCACAGATGAACGCGATTTCCTCCAGAGCCTTTGTGCTGACCTCAGACAGGGCTGCAGGTCTCAGATCCTTGAGCCCTCAGCTTCCCTATCCAGACTCCTAGACATCCATGCAGCTTGTCTTGTGTGGTGTCTGGGACCTGCCCTCTGATCACCAAGACTCCCCTCCACACCTCTCCTGAAGGTGCATAAGGTCTTGGTTGCTGCCTTCCGAGATGTAGCCCATTGGTGTTTGTATTCTTTGTGTCTGGTTCAGAAGCAGTGACTATTTCTTCGCCTCTCTGTCACTTCCAGGGGACAACAAATGTTTCCTGTTCTCCATCATACCCAGCATGGCCATGTACATGCACACGGGTTACAATGACCACTTCATGTACTTGAATCAAGGACAGCAGACCATGCCCAATGGACTGGTAAGCAGGTGGGAAGGGGCGTCCCGCCAGCCAGGTGGGAGTGCTTTCGGTGTCTGTCCCTTCAGTGGTATAGACTGAGAGCCCATGCCAGGGCCCATCTTCCTTAGTGATAGCTGTGCCTTTGCTGGACTTTCCCCTGGTTTGTGTGCAAATAACCTGGCCCTTTTCATGGACCCCAAATGATTGACCTGTGTCCCGAGAGGGAGTTGGTAGCAGACCCAGTACAAGGCATTGCCATGTATGCTGCGCCTGCACACCAGGGCTGCGTGCTGAGTTTGGTGGAGGTGGGCAATCCCTGAGTCCAGGGCTCTCGGCAGTGAGTTTGGTCTTTGGTAACTTATGAGACAGAAAATAGGCTATGCTTGTGGTGGACATGTTCTTGAACGTTGATAGCCACAGGAAAGAAAAGGGAGAGGAGGGAAGGAGAAGAGAGAAGAGGAAAAGAGGAAGCTGGAGGCCAGGCCAGAAATGGCAGCTGGATGCATGATGGTATAGTAGGGTGGATGCCCACAAGGATGCTTGGCATGGGTGAGAGCCACCCAACCTGCTGGCCTTTTCCTCTTGTCTGTTTCTTGATGAGTCTTCTGGGGAGGCTCAGCTCTGTGCTCGCTGAGCTGAGAGCCAAGGAAATGGTCTCTTCGGCTAGCTAGAGAGGGTCAGAGGCTCCCTTCCAGGCTGTGGGAGGGACATGCGCCCAGCTTCTAGGACACCAGAGTTTAGGCACTGGACCCCTCTCAGAATGAGTCTGGCTGTCAGCCCCAGGAGCAGTCCCAACATTCACAGGAACCTAGGGACCAAAAACTGTTTCTTGACATAGTTCAGATCCCTACACATCCAAGATGGAAGCAGGTCATATCATGTGCTCCAGGCCCACGACAGAGGTGACATCAGGACAAAGCTGTCAGGGGGCAGGGTAACAGCTGGCTTGAGCCAGGCAGTGGGAAGAAAGAATTTGAGCTGCCGCTCCTAGCCTGCCACCTTTCTTGAAGGAGAGTGGTGGGGACAGGACACAGATGGGTTTCCAGGGTTCCCTTGCTCACCTCACCCCTGAGTAACTGCTTGGGACACCCAAGGAGTCTGCAGATTTCCTAGTCTGCTGTCCCCTCTGTGTGGATTGTGATCTGCTGGTGTCCATGACCATTTAGTAACTTGGAATGTGATTATAATCACAGCCCAAGAAAACACCACCACATCCCTACTTCTCCCGTGTCTCAGGCTGGTCAAGAACTCAAGACCCTCCTGGTTCTCTGGTGTGATTGATCAAGCATGGCTGCTGACACTCATCTGTCTCCACTTGCTCCACAGGGCATGGGCGGGCAGCACCATTATTTTGGGCTTTGGGTGGCTGCCGACTTTGGGAAAGGACACAGCAAAGCCAAGCCCACATGCACCACCTACAACAGCCCACAACTGTCCGCCCAGGAGGACTTCCAGTTTGATAAGATGGAGGTGTGGGGGCTCGGCGATCTCTTAGAGACATATTCGGTGAGTTCTGCATGTCAGTGACCTCACGAAGAGCCATGACCTTTCTGCTTTTTCTTGTTACTTTGCCTGCTTCTTCATCTGGGGAGGTTTATCTTTACCAGCTTTGGACCATGCCAGGGTCCATGTAGCAAAACAGAGTGTGTGTTTGCCTGGGAAGTGGGGACCCACCTAAGAGGTGCACCTGGCCCAGCTAGATGGCCCTTTGCCTTCCCTACCTGTCTGCAAGAACACTTGGTTTCTGCATTACCCTAGCGATTTTATCCCAGCCAGGGAGGCTTTTGGGTACCAATGCCACTTGGCCTCTTTGTGGCTCCAGTCTGATAAAGCTGACCGCTGGGAGGAAGTCACTGTGTGGCCCAGGTTGGTGGGAGCTGTTAACTCCCTGTGTAGTCCTGAATACACTCACTCCCCTTCTTCTCAAGGCGAAGAACAAGAAGAGCATCCTTGACTCGAATCCCACAGCCCAATCCCTGTTGGAGATCAGTGGACAGGCTCGTCACAGTGAGGGACTTCGGGAAGTCCCTGATGATGATGACTGAGGCTCCTGAACCATGCACTTCCTGGAGCAAGGGCTGGACTCCCCCCAGGGATGCACAGTGTCCAGATTCCTCACTGCTGGGTAGGCAGAGCCCCTCAGACCCTCTGCCATGACTCTGGATTAGCTTTAATACACAGCCACATGGCCACCTCCAGGCCATCATGGATGTACTTAATCAGAACACAGCCATGCCAAGAGAAACCCCTCTGAAGCCATAATTGATGGGGGTTGCCTCCCTGGATCCTTGAGCATAGGTTAGAACTTTGGCCTTATACTTTGTTCATTTTATGTCAGTGGAATCCAAAGACAAAGAGGCTTGAAACTTGCTGGAACTGGTGATTGTTGGGGGCATGTATTCTTGCCTCAGGAGGAGGCTGTGTGTGGCCTTTGCTCTGGATCCCTGTGAGTGCCCTGATGGCCCATTGTGAGTGGAAAGACGGAGGTGCTCAGATGAGCATCTTGTTACTTTGGAAGAATACCCCCACCCCCAGCATGGAATTTCTGGGTTTGTAGCTAAAGATCTGAAGGTAATGTTTCTGAGGGAAGGATTTCTCTGAACAGGTTTGTGTTGGGGGTTCCCATATAGCTTTTCCAACACTTTAAATGAGTCTGATGGGCAAATGGGAAAACTTGACCTATCTGCCCAGAGACCAAGCCATTACAGTGCTGCTAACTCAAATATGGGGGCGTTTGGAGAGAGTTGAAGTCTCTTCAATGGATGCATGAGACCCATCCCTGGAGTCAGTGGTGGGTGATGTCCAGTGTTGACTGGGCGTGGCAGCCTCCAGCTACCTTCTCTGAGGTCACAGGGCATCTCAGAAAGATGATGAGTGATGGGACAGTGCAGATGTACTTTAGGCAGACCCCAGTTGTCCCAGAAGACTGAAAAGTACTCAGATTGACAGGCTGCCCATCACACTGAGTTATTGTCACCCACTCAGAGGAGCCATGGGCCCCTCTCTGAGGCTCCTACCTCGTCTCATTGCCTTTTGCTGTAAACTGCAACCTTTATCTGATCTGATCTGATCTGATAAAGGTTCTACCTTTGATTGTACAGTTTGCCTCCATTAAAAGCCATGGTAAAGCCGGATATGTGCATTTTTCCAGTTCTGTGTTTTCTACCCAGGAAGCTCCTGGAATACTCCATGTAACTCTCGAGCACAACAGCAGGTCTAAGGCATGTACCTTCCAAACCGAAGTGCTGATTCTATGCATGGAAGGGTAGGTGTGTGGTGTAGACAAGAGATGGGCCATTTGGTTTTCTTGGTAAGAAGCTGGTTGTCATTGGTATGTAGGATAGAGAGAAAATACTGGAATCTTCAGACAACCCCATTGTAATGTCACAGTGCTATGGAGTGTTTTTAATAAAAACGTAGTCATGTCTCTCGTTGGTAGCAGGGCTGTGGTGCCTATGACTTGGTGTGACCCATTGGGAGGTCATGACAACACAGCCCCCATGCTTTCTGACCTCTGGGTTGACTTGAGCTCAAGCCACGGATGGGATCCTGCTTCTCAGAGCAGCACCTTCAAGATGGGAGGCTCTGGTGTCCCTTTTGGAGTGGGGGTGACAGGCTCTGCTTCTCAGCATGCACCTGTAACGGGTCTCTCAGGGCATAAATGTGTGTGGGGTGTCAACCAGACCCCAAGGAACTCCTCATCTCTTCCAAATGAGGAGTGTGGTCTTTTGTGAAACTGGAACAAGAATTCAGCTGTGAGCACCAGAGACCTCCTTACACATGGGGCCTGGAAGGGCAGGAGGAGGAGGTAAGAAACACAGCCCATGCTGCAAACATGGCTGCTGTTAGAATGAATGTTTGAGCGAGGTGCTGGAAGGATGGAGATGGGAGAGGACAGCTCTGGGAAGGCATGCCCCCTCCTCCCTTGGGCTCCTCTGGAGGCCACCCTCTGCACACTGGGGCACAGCTGTGTTTGGACACGGTATGTTTTTCAGTGGGAGTCACTTAGGGTTCCCCATCTCCTTTTCCACTGTTTCTGTCAGCTGAGCAGATGCTCCATCCTGTTTGGCAGGCCAGCATCTTACTGGAGGCTAATTGTTGCCATAGTGACCATCATGTGTCTGGTTGGCATTGTGTCTCTAGGATGAACTGAGTGACTAGTTGGTTTAAAACATGCCCCCCCAATTCTTTTTGGTAATGCTGTGAGAGGCCACCCAGAACTTGGTGCATGCTAGGCAAGTGCTCACGGTATGATGTGTCCCCAGCCCTTGGCTTTTGGGGGCAGGGTCTCCTATGTCACTTAGGCTAGCCTTGGAGTCATGATCCCCCTACTTCTGCCTCTCGAATGCTGTGACCACAGTTGTACCCCACCATACCTGGCTGAGATATGACAGAGTGCCTCCTCACCAAGGAGTGTCAGTGGTGACATTCTTCAGTGTCTGCGATGGTTTGAAAGAAAATGGCCCCCAAAGGGTGTGGCCTTCAGAGGCGTGGCCTTGTTGGAGTAGGTGTTGCCTTGTTGGAATAAATGTGTCACCCTCTTGGTGACACACTTTGAGGTCTCATATATGCTCAGGCCATGGCAGTAAGAAAGTTTGCTTCTTGTTGCCTTTTGGTCAAGATGTAGAATTCTCCAGCACCAAGGCTGCCTGCTCACTGCCACACCCCCAGCTGCCATGTTCCCCACCATGTGACAATGGACTAAACCTCAGAGCTGTAGGCCGCTACCTCAGTTACATGCCTTTGTTTAGAAGGGGTTGCTGTGGCCACACAGTGCCCTCTGGCTTTCTCTAGGGTGTCTTTCTCCACCTTGATTTATAAGAGCATTTTCTTTTCTGAGGGCCAGAGAGAGCACTGGCTGTTCTTCCAGGGGACTGGGGTTCAATTCCCAGAACCCATCTAGCAACTCATAACTAACTGTTACCTCCAATTCCAGGGGATCCAGTGCCCTCTTCTGACCTCCACAGGCAGCAGGCATACACACACACACACACACACACACACACACACACACACACACACACACACACACACACACTCAGGCAAGCCAACATATGCATAAAATAAAAATAAAAATTTCAAAAATTAAAAAAAAGATTTTGTCAAACAAAGCAAAAACTATACTTATTTGGAGTGGTTAAGATTCTTCATAGTTTATTCGGCTTTATCCATGGCGTTTTTTTTAAAGATTTATTTTATTTATTACATATACAGAGGGCACCAGGTTGAATTGTAGATGGTTGTGAGCCACCATGTGGTTGCTGGGAACTGAACTCAGGACCTCTGGAAGAGCAGTCAGTGCTCTTAACCTCTGAGCCACCTCTCCAGCCCCTATCCGTGGCGTTTTTTCTGCATATAAATCTTAGATGTTATATCACATTTGTCAGCATTTTCTCTTAAGCAAACTGCACACCCTCCACTCAGGGGATAGAAAAGGTCACTTCTGCTGTTCCCGTGGTTTCTATTTATACATCTTTGGCCCAAAGTATTTTTAAAAAATATATCTCATCCCTAAAGTTCTACTGCCTTTAAAATTTTTTAAAAATGTGTTTTAATGAAGTTATGTGCGTACGGAGGTCAAAGGGCAATTTGAGGAGTCAGTTCTCCTTCCCACCTGTTGTCAAGGGTCTCTTGTTTCTGTTGCCTTTCTGCACACTGCAGGCTAGCTGGGACCCTGGGAGATTGTCCTGCCCCTGCTGACGCCCTGCTGCAGGGTCGTCGGGTTACATATGTGCACTCCTGTAGCAGGGTCTTTAGGTGAGTTCCAGGGGTTGAACCCGGCTATCAGGCTTTCTCAGCTCCACTCTACCCACTGAGTCTTCTCCTCGGCCTGATAGACACCCCTTGTGTTAAATGGCATGACTTTGCTCTACTTCAGACACCCCTTGTGTTAAATGGCCTAGGTATGTCTCTCCTCTACTTAAGATACTTACTTTAAATTTTTTACTTCTTTATTATATGGAACTGGGTCTTTTGTCTGTGTATATGTCTGCACACCAGAATGGAGCATTGGATCTCATGGGGCTATGGTGACAGATGGTTGTGAGCTGCTATGTGTGTGCTGGTAATTGAACTCAGGTCCTCTGAAAGAACAGTCAGTGCTCTGAACCACTGAGCCATCTCTCCAGCCCCTTAAACTACTTTCTAATCAATTGACTTTCTGTGTGAATTCAGGCATCTTCCTCATGTTTTAATACTGGAGTTTTAGGGATAGGTGTGGTGGCACAGGCCTTTAATCCTAGCATTTTTCAGTGGCATGGTGACCATTTTTAAAAAGCCATACGGCTGAGGTTGTAGCTCAGAGGTAGAGTCAAGAGCCTGCTTGTGTCCATTAACCACTGGTTAAGAAAATGTCCTCAGAAGCTCACCTCACAGAAGCTCACCTCACAGAAGAGTCAGCTGTAGCCAGATGCTGGCATGAAATGAGTGAGCACGGGAGCTGTTGGGAAGATGCTGTGTGGTTTGTACAGGTACAGGCTCACATGTGTGTAGGTGCACATGTTGTGTGACATATACCTGTGTGCACATGTGCATGTGTGATGTCTACCTGTATGGACATGCATATGTGCAGATGTGATGTATGCCTATGTGCAGGTGCATGTGTGTGTAATGTATGTCCTTGTGCAGGAGTGTATGCGTGTGTGTGTGTGTGTGTGTGTGTGTGTGTGTGTGTGACATATACCTTTGGGCAGGTACACATATGCATGTATGACATATGCCTGAGTGTGGGTACACATGTATGCCTGTGTGCAGGTGCTTGTGTGTGTGTGTGTGTGTATATGTCTATGTACAGTACACATATGCATATGTGACATATGCCTGTATGTGGGTACACGTGTGCGTGTGACATATGCCTGTGTGCAGGTGCTTGTGTGTGTAATGTATGCCTGTGTGACTTATGTCTGTGCTGGGTCTGTGTGTGTGTGTGTGTGTGTGTGTGTGTGTGTGTGTGTGTGATGTGTGCCTGTATGAAGGTGCAGATCTGTAGGTGCATTTCACTTGTGCATGTGTGACATATGCCTGTGAGTGTACTTGAGCACACACGGGCATACGTGTGTGAGATTTATCCCTGATTCTTGCTGAATCCTTTTGTCTGCTATTAGTGACTCAGGATCACCTGTCCAGCTTCCTGAGACAATAAAGCTTGGGCTTCACCTCTTGAGAGGAAGTGTGGGGAGACCTGAGAGCCCATGCTGCCAGTTAGTGATGCTACCCACTGCAGGCCCCAGCTCCCTCTGCCAGTGGCCACAGTGGTTTTTGTTCATCTGTAGATTGTCTTGAGTGTGCAGGCATTGCTCCTCTGGTGGCATTATCACGCATTGTGCCATGATTCCTTTGTGGCTTTCAGCATTGGACTGAGCCCAGGGCCTCATTCATGCCAGGCAGACACTCTGTTTTTACTCAGAGGCAGAGGCATGAGTCCCACTGAGTTCCCAGGCTGGCCTTGAACTGCGATCCTTGTGAGTGTGTGCCCAGCTCCATGACACCGACACCTCCACCACACCCTCCTCCCTCTCATGGAGATGCTCTGGTCTTTCTCCATGAGGCATGATGCCAGCATGTGCTTTTGAGGTATCTGGTTTATTGCAGGGGATGGAGCTTCCATGTGTGCTAGTGTTTATGAGGCTTCCATGGCGTGAGAGCTTTGCACACACAAGGCATCCGTGTTCTTCATCACAGTGAGTGTGTAAGGGAGCTGCTCTGTGGAGCTGAGGCTTTTTTGATGACTAATGTCCTATCCCTGCTTGGTGACAGCACCATTTGTTTTCAATAAGATTTTACATAAATCATACTTGTAGAGTATTTTTTTCCTGAACAGTTGGGGATTCAACTCCAAATCATGAGTCATAGCTCTTTGGAGAACTGTCCCTTAGCTCTCATCTTAGATGAGGAAGCAAGGCCTTGAAGGAGACAGCTGTGGGCAGAGTGACCATATTCCTGGTTGCTGTGAAGCCCTGTGCCATCACATGGGGCTGCATTGTTCAAGCACAGACAGACAGGTTAAATAAAAAACACGGTGGTTTAATAAATAGTGTCATGTTTTAGTAAGCTCCATCCTGTCCCGTGCATCCCGGCAGGTCAGGAGGACATGTGGAGCCAGGGTCCTGAGGCTGCATGGTCCTAAAATCTGCTC